GAACCGAATATGGTATTCAAGAAACACATTAGCTACTCAGGCTACAATAATTGTACTCTCCCATTTCTGTTATTATTTTTCTTCTGTCACAGGATCTTTATTCTTCTCGTACAGCTGGTATTACTTTTACATCGCGTGAATGACTACAGATTTATTAACACTGGATTTCTTATACCATTTATACCTAATAATTCAGTGTTTATATCCAATAATTCAATGCTTTCAAATGTAAATTCATTTGAATGACCTAAATGATTGGATATCATCACAAGCTTTGTGACCCCTACGTACCTTCTCTTCCAGCTCACTTATGTTTTGCAGCTCATTCTGTTAAAACTTATGCTAAAAATTATAAATTCCTGGAAGACCTCATTGATAACATTCCCCCATATGAATTTATAAGTTCCTGGAAGACCTCTTTGATAACATTTCTCGCCCTGAGGACTGCTCTTGTTCTGAGTTTTCTCCTGGGAAATCTGGTGTTGTCGTTGCAGTTTCAGCTCCAACACCAAACCCTTCTCCAGAATTGCACCTGGATGCATTTGGGGACTATCTTACTGTCCCTCCATGTCCCCATGGAACTTCAGAATCCACAAATATTTCTTTACATTTTGCTTGAAAATGAATCAGCTTTTCCAAAGATCCTGTGTTGGAGAACAGTGCAGTCCTGTTTAATCCTGACAGCATCGTGTTTGTTTTCCTCCACTATGGACAATTGCTACCCTGTCCCATACCTAAAACTCCATGAGAAGATTCACATAAGCCAGGAAGATCCATGTGTATATAGTAAACAAGTAAATGTTATAAGGGATGCAGACAGCTGTAAGATTCAGAGAAGGCTGCTGGGATTGTGGTGATCTTTGATATCTAAGATAAAATTTGAAAAAATGCCACCATTACATTCTCATGTTCTTCCCAAAGAAATATCATGTTCAATTTCCAGTCCAACATGGAGAAAGTCCTCAAGCAACCCTATCCTCTTTCTTAGTTATATTAATGCATCTGCTAAAAGGCAGAGTATGTTAACTCCCCCATGCCCGCCTTTAGATGGGCTTGCTACACAACCCCTTGCCAGGTTTGTTTGGCAATGGAAGAAGCCAGATTTACCTAGGGCTTCTTTCTGAAAATAGGTAATCAATTTTGGTTCAAACTTCTCAGTTAGTGGGAGAAGAAAATTCTTCTGTTTGGGCAGATGCATAGATAATCAAGTTTCTTACTCAAAAGCAATGAATGCAAGGACATTGAAGAAAAGGAACTTATTGGAAGTGATAAAATGGCTACCCATCATAAACACTAGAAAGTTTACTGAATTCATTAACATAACCTGAAAGCTTCTTGGTAATGCATGCCATTCCCATTCTTTGCTCAGACCTGACAGTCGTTTGCCTCTGAGGAAAACATTACTCCTAAACCTCTCTTACCATTCCCAAGTGCGGTGATCTCACCTTTGGTACTTCTTTCTGTTAAAGACAGGATCAGCAGTAAGTCCTTCATCTTTTAGGAATAAGGTATTGGGTTTACCTCAGGATAGAAATGGCTCCAAATTCAAGTTTTAGTTCAGTACAAGCTTTACGGTCTACAGGACTGAATTTCACAGCTGTCCTCCAATAAGAGTTTTTTCAATGAGTATCATCTGTTCTTTACAGTTAAAATTTCTTTAGTGAAAAATCTCTTGCAGTGAAAATAACAGACTGGAATTATTCAGAATAGTCCAAGATAGAGAGAATTTAGGGGATTAAGTGAAAAGCAAAAAGGCTTGATTGGAGAACAGGAAACCTTTCTGAGGAGTCATATATTGCAGAATAAGCTATATCTCATCTGGTGGGATGCTTAAACCTAAACTAGCAGGTAGGATAAAAGTGCTTAAGAAGCTCGGATTTAATTGTTCTCTTGTATTTCAAATTGTTATAGTACTATACAATTAGCTATTGTATAGTAATTACAGTAGTTTGTAAGATGAGTACTTACAACTGTTTATAGATGAGTAAAACAGCTTTTACCCAGATATTTTGCTGAAATATATATATCTCTCCAGCTTATCAGGTAGAAACACTGGCTCAGAGCTGCCACCCAATGCTCATACCTTGAAAAATGCCTTAAATGCAAGTTATCTGCATTACGGACTGCTGATGAGTTCAGTAAGACAATATAGCAGAGGTCTAAAGACTCACTGCATATAAAAGGCAAGAAGTAAAAGGCTATTTATTTCTCAACTCCTATTCCTCAACATCTGTATGTCCCACCACTATATGTCTTGACTGTAACAAGATCCTTCAATCAACAAATTTGATTTGTTAACCTGTTTATTTTTTTCTCCTGTATTGCTTTTCTAGTGGTTTATCAAGGTGAATCAATTTGGAGTGTAGTGAGGTAAGTGTCAGCACCTGCACAAACATGAAAGCAGGAAGGGAGGCTTTCAGCAGCAATGAGCCCTTAGCTCAGTTCAGCTGTCCTGTCTAACTGCATCTGACATGTTATCTGGAGGTGTCCCAAACTGGCTTTAAATATGCTTGTTTGGGTATCCAAAGAACCCTAGGCACCATGGAGTGCCACACAGGGTAACACTTCTCAGTGTGGTTTTAGGTAAATCAGTCTTTTCAGCACTCTGTGACTTCACGTATTGATTGCTACCAGTAGCTGAGCTCTCTCGTTGAAAGCTATCTCTGTTATTTCTGTATGTTTCAATGTGTCATCTGTCAGAAAGTGTTTGCCTCTGGCTGTGCTGTATCATTTGGCAAAGTAGGGAGGAAGATGAAAGGGGATTACAATGTGCATGCATTCACTTGGCATCAATCAGATATCAATTGTTTCACTGCACTACACAATGACAACTATTAGCAGCTTATAAACACATTATTTTAATTTGTAAAAGATATATTCTATTCTTCAGTATTCTTCACAGCAAGAGGACAGCCCTCCTCCCCCCCGCAAAAAAGGAAAAAAAAACACAGTTTGTGGTGCAGGATAGTGTTGCACCATTAAGACTTTCCCAGTCCCTCCCTGATCTTCCTTAGCCTTTCGTGGATAGTAAAGGGCATTTGCTCTGAACTGTACTATAGTTTTGTACTCTGTCTGTGCAGACATCAGAAAGAAGCATATGAACTTGCATGCTGACTTAGCCCTTACATTAAGATCTTACATCTGTATTAGCTATCTGTGCCCTGGGTTTTCTGTTTTCAGTATGCCAAAAAATATCAGTAGATTTCTCTTCAGGTCCATTGATTGTGGATTAGAAATTGCTGCAGGCTCAGAGGACAGCGTTTATTAGGCTGGTTACCAGTGCTGTATGCAATGTACAAAACAGGGTGGTGCTACAAAGTCCTGTTGTTCAGCTGAAGCCTGCGTGCTATATGCAAAGACAGGGACCTCTCATACTGGTATATGAGGAAACCCACACGAGGGATATTTCTACACATTGCCATTTGGCCAGTCTCCTTAGTTTGAAAGACTTGTCCACGTGCCTAGGAAACATCTGAATTCCAAATGGTTATTATCGCTGGTGAAAAATGATTATCGCATGATAATCTCTGGATATATTTTAACTTCACTGCTTTTATGCAGTCAGCATACTCTCACCTAAGCCCAAATGGATAAAAGTGGCATAACAATCCTAGTTCTGACCTGAAGTAGTTTGTATCAGGGGGCTGCAAAAAATCAGTCTTTTAAAAATGGGAGTAGAGGACAAGGATCAGCATATCTCCCTTCCCAGACAGGTACTTTGTGATTGCTGGGCCAACCTGGTACACTCTGTGGGACTGGAAGGCAGGAGTTTGCAAGAAGAACCACTAGATACTACCAGAAGAACACAACAGAAATCCCCAAATAACCCTGGATGTAGTGCAGCATTCAACCTTGGGTGATCCTGAGTCATTCTGATACACTCCCCGGATTTCAGATTACACAAACTGCATCGTGGAGACCTGTGTTTCTCTCTAAGAGATATTTACCTGGCAGGTAGGGGAAGGGCTAGCAGAGGTGTATATGGGTTATGAGAGCTTCAGTTACAGTCCAGTCACGCTGTGGGGTGACTTGCAGATTGGAGAAGTGCAGGGGTTTCTTGGAGCTTTTCTGTTTCTTTTAGGTGGGATGTCTCAGTTTTCATTTGCATTAGCTTGGTCTGTGAGTTTTGTAGGCTCTGGCAAACACCCTGACACCTATTCTCAAGTGAGATTCTAATGTTTTCCTAGCATTACTCCTGCTCCCCAGGCTAGGCAAGAATTTTCCATGAAGTCCTCCAAGTGACAGACATAACAGCAAAACTAGAACTGTGCATAGAGAAATTTCCTTGCTCCTGAGCTGTTGCAGGAACACGCTTTGATGTTTTAGAAGCACAAAAAGATCCCACCACACATAGGTATCTGTTGCCAATTATCTGAATTTGCTCCTGAGCTGTTGCAGGAACATGCTTTGATGTTTTAGAAGCACAAAAAGAGTCTGAATTCACTTGGAAAGCATCAACAGGCATCTGGTTCATGGACTGGTGTGCCTTGCAGCTAGATACCTCCAGTGCTGAGGCTGTGGGGAATTTTTATAGCCTTTCGGGTGGAAGAGGCAGTATTCAGGCCCTTGGGTGACCCTGGTTCATTCCCTTTGTATCCTCTGGGTATTCCCTTCTATCTGGTTTGCTGGGACAGACACTGAAGCATCATGAATCTTCTCACAAATTTGTGCTTATATACATCAGACACATACACTTACACTCTCCCCTCTTCCTTGGCATCCTGTCTAGGTCTCACTTAATCACTCAGCACTACAGTCAATCTTAAGCATGAGGAGGGTGACATTCAAAACTCAGGTCCATTCCCACCTGTCTCATAAATCCTATTCTATGCATATATGCAGATGAATTTCTATTTGGTCTGCTATCCCCTCTGCAAGATGCGTGTCTCACATTCCACTGAGGCTCAGTTACCAGTGACGAATGAAGCATTTTCCATGCACGCTCAGGTTTTTTCCTGGCATTCTGCTTCCAGAAGACCCCCTAATTGGGAGAAGAGAGCACTACCAGCACGTCTGCTGTTAACACCTAGCAAGCAAATGGCAGAAGGCTTACATGGAGGTTTATTAGATGGCTGAGGAAGAAGATCCCTTGCTGAAAGCACTCCAATCCCTAACCTTATTCTAAGGCTTGCCTTTGTTCTTCCCATATTTCTCTTCAAATGCTTTCTGCAGGTTAAGATTTAGGGCATTTTTCTGATGCCATCTCCCTGTAAAGAAGGCAAATCATAGTTCAGTTACAGCTCCCCTTCTAACAGTATTACTTCTCAGGAATTTTTCTAGCTGTAAAGCTCCTCTTGTGAGAATGACCATGTACAGTTCCCCCCATTTGCCCATACCCATTCTTTATCCTTGGCAGAAGTGGCACCCATCTCAGAAGTCCAACAACATATTTTTCCTGACAGAAGTCATACCTAGGTCGTCGGTCCTTCTTCCATGCCAATTCTTGGGATCTCTGATTGCTTTCTGAATTACATCGGGGGTGTAAGAATCTTTCATCAAGCTTCTACTCTCCAGTGGGCCACCTGCAAGGAATAGCAAATGAGGAACTATATGCAGAAAACATTCTACTGCATGGTTGGAATTGAAGCAGGGAAGTGACACGTGCAATTTCCAAGGCACAGGAAATGATGTGTATTGACACCAATATCTTTATTAGTTGTATGGCTAGATGCTGAATAACAGATTCACCACCCACAGCCAGGAACTGTGTTTGCCAATTTATCTGCTTTTCATTCTGAAGTATGAGATACACACAGAGGGTACAGCACAGTATTTTTCTTTATTTGTATCCCATTGCCCTTTCTTCACTGAAATACCCACTTGATCTCCTCTTGAATCTCCTCATCCATACGAGCAACTTCCTATTCAACAGCACAGTTTCACAAAAAGCTCTATGTTACCACTCAAGGCTTTCTTGGGCTCCTTTTCTGTACTTTTCTGCCATGATGCTTACAGACTCTCACTAGACTCTCAGTCTTTTATTTAGCTCAATTTTTAGCCATTTGGGGGGCTTTATTATAATCTCTCCTCCTTTCTCACCTTCCTTTTTATTGTACCACCTCTCCTTGATAATTAGAGCAAGGTATCCCTATCTCCTGAATGACTGCACAAAGCCCAGGACAAGGCAGATTTCAGCAAGTTTTCCAAGTATTGTCAGGGAATATACTGACTCATAGTGGTACATAATAAACTGGAGTAAGAAACATTTGTCTGAGAGATTATAGGATACAGTGGCAACAAGAATGAAATGAATACTTTGCTTCTCATAAATGCTTAAATGAAGAGATATCTAGGGGCTGTGGAAACAGAGGGAAAGCATTCCAGAACTCCATATTTCTAAAGGCTATGATAAGAAAAAAAAAAAAAACACACACTATTAAAACGTTATTGGAACTGGAGGTAACATGAGATTGAAACTAACAGGCGATTTTCAGTTGCAAATGCTGTCCACTTAGGAAATGCTGGACATGGAGGATGGAGGCATGATACACCCTCCCTTCTCCCACCTTGACAAAAAAAAAAAAAAGAGTGGAAGAAAAGGGAAAAAATGGAATATGCAGAAAGGGAAATCATAAGTTCATTTCCTCAAGCACTACAGCCTGACAAGGGAGTGCCATGGATGGAAGGGGCAAAAGGGTAAATGAGGGACACCTACAATCAGACTTCTACCCACCCAGTGCAGATGTCCAAGGCCCAGGTTCAGTGCAGATGGGCCCAGCTTTGAAGATCAGGCATAGGTATGTGCATCCCCTCACCTTGGAAGATATTTGACCTCAAATTAAAACCCAGCTGGTAGTAATCAGCAAAAGATGTAGAGGTCAGGGGGTTTTGTAACATCTCAGTGCGATCGCTGAGCCTTTTCTGTCCTATGATTAATCCTGCCTTGCACTGAGCCTGCCGTTCCTGAAAACATGAACAACATGGAAACAGTTTCAGTTCACTGAAAAGTTCTCTTATGGTACCAAACTTCTGACATTTCTGTTCTTGAGCAGGCCTCTGAGCTATGACTAATGTCCCAGATCCAACTCTGTCCTTGAGTCAGCAGCCTCTGTAGGTGCTGTAACTGGAAGGGTCAACTGACACGGGTGCAAATGGGTGCAAATTAGAAAAAAAAAAAAAAGTGTGTGGCCCAGAATGCATCCTGGTACCGTACTGCTTTGCCTTGCTGAATTGAGACTCTGCTGCTGATTACAGGAACCTTAAAAATAAAAGGGATAGGGAAAAAAAAAACAAAACCAAACAAAACAGAGATGGGACAGACTGTGGAATGTGCCACTGCACCTCAATGTTGAGCCCAGATCTATTCTCCTAAATGTCATCTATAAACTGCTTATCTTATATTCCACCCTCTCAGACCTCCTGCTAAACAAAAATAAATAAATAAATAAGCCTCCATTCTGCATAAAAGATACGTGAAACTGCATCCTCCAGTACCTCTTCACTGCGAGAAAGCTCGTCTGCACTGGCAGATTTGTATTTGCTGTTAGCATGGGTTAAGGTGTTTCTCTTCTCCAGAAGAAGCTTCCCCTCTGCTCTCACATCTTGCCCTAATGATGCTAAGGACTCTTTAGCACTTAATCTGCTGCGGGTTTCCTTGGCCTCTTTGCAGTAGGTCTTGGTGGTCTTTTGGGGAGATCCAGGCCCCCTGGACCCCAGTGCTCGGTACTGGCCCAGTGCTGGTACTTTGGCATTTGAGTTTGGTTTCTCCTCTGCCTCCTTCTGCCTGGATAATGCAGACAGGCGGAAACTGCTTTTCCTCCCTCTTAGTTCATGCCCCACTGCTGGGTCTTTGGCGGCAGGAATATCTCCTCCTTCCTCTTCAAGTCTTCTTGAATGAAAATCCTGCATGGAGGGAGTTTTGCCCTGGAGGCTCTGTTTGCTGTGGCTTTTATCCTGAAGACACTTTGCAAGAGGAGATGCCTGAGATTTGACAGATGTGGAGCTCTTTGCCATTCCCTGAGCTGATGGGCCTTTGGAGATCTTCCAGGAGGTTCTGCTGGAGCTCCGTAGGGATGTCCTATAGTTGCTGGGATGTGAGCCTGCTGGAAGATGCTCCTTTCTCCCTTCCCCAGATTCCACTTAAAGACAAAATGAGCAGCTCAATGAATTTGATACTGTTTTGATGATAAGTAGTACCTTAAGTGAAGCTGGAAACAACCAGACATGTCATGGTGTCATTGTCAGAATCAAACCTCCTGCTCCCACTGAGCCAGGGAATCTCATATATTCCTGGTAGATGGTCATGAACAGAAATAGGCATGTAAAAATAGGCATGTGGTTAAACATGCACACAAAGCATTATCTTTTCTTAGATTTAGGTGGCCCATTCAAACCTATGTGAACCCGCACTTCCTCTGCCATGCATTAGTATCTGTTGAGGAATTTACAGCACTGTCTTTTTGCACTGCTGCAGGGAAGTAGCGAGGTAAGTCCATCAATAGGGGACACATCCCTCATGGGGACTGTAACCGATCAGCCCACAGACACAGGGGATCCCATGCTCTCCTGTCCGTGTAGTTTTCACTGACACGGAGTGCATGCGAATCTGGACAGCAGGAGGTAAGGGAGGCAAAGACAACCTCCCTCGCATGCTATGTCGCAAAGCAAAGTTTGAATAAGGGGCAGTTTATTTGCTACATTTCTTACCTGATGAACTGTCAGCCAGCACCGTGTCACTTTTTGCCAGGTCAGGTGCGGGAGGAGCAAGGGCAAGTGGCACCTCCTTGGAAGAGAAATTCCATGTCAGGCTCAGAGAAGGGAACGAAGACTGTTCTGCCCACCTGGCATCTTCCTGAGATGTAGACTATTCCCCAGCATATGTGGAATTTGCCTGTCTAGATCAAGATAGCGCTGTCGACACCTGGCTGTAGATCCTAAGATCTATGTTCCTTTCAGATTTCAAAAAAGTACAGAAGTCTTGCAGGATTTGACATTAACAGCCTGCCTGGTCAAGCTGCCAGGAATACTGAGCTGCCAGAGTTTTTAAGGGCAGCAGTTAAAAACACAGGTCAAAATGGAGAAAAAAAAAAAGGAAAAAAAAAAAAAAGGAAGTCTATTATCAAGCATAACAGCTCATTCCTTCAGTACATTGAAGTAAGACTAGAATAACATGGAGAGGAATTAACAAACATAAAATGGTTGCACTGTGCTGAATATGTAGAGGAAGAGAGATTAATTGGGGATGAGGTTTCCTCCCTGATTCTGGCAGCGACAATTCCCTGTTTTACTTTGTTAGCTCTGATGATAACACTGATCTAACACCCAGCCTTTGCAAAACCAGCTCTTGGGGTGTGCCTGTCTTCTGTACTCGGAGGGGGCTTATACTCTTCCATGCAGAAGAAAAGCCTTCATATCCTCAGTCCTGTCCTGCTGCTGTTCCATGTTTCTCATCCCAGCAAAACTCTATGGGCTTAGTTCACGTGAAACCCGTAACGATGCGGCTCATGATAGAGAATACAGGATGTGTGAGCCTGCCGGCTCTGGCAGCAGTACTAGGGTGATCTCGATCAGGTGGCGGGATATGTGTTTGCATTTGCTGGATTAGATTATGATGGGACATTTATGCTAACTTTCTGCTCTTAATGCTGGTTCCTGGAAAGCAGATGATGTCTGATGGGGGAAGGAAGCCTTCTGCTTTAAAGTTAACTCACAGGAATTCTCAGAAGTGATTGGAATGAGCAACTTGTGTTTTACATTGCAGTAGGAGTTTGCTGCAGCATGTCTGAGGCAATACTGGGACCCTGAGGCTGGATTTACTCAGTCAGTCTGATTCCAAGAGTCAGGGTTGCACGCTACACAAATGCAGTTAAGAGAAAATGTAATTCCCACAAAAAGACAAGGGCCACAAGAAATAGAGGGGAAGCCAGTGTGTGGCTCTCATGGCAGGATCAACTTCTTTTCTGTACTTTTAATTCTTTTTAAAGAAGTATCAAACATTTAAACATGATCACATTGCAGGAACCTGTCCCTAAATAAACTTAAATAAACTTCCCACCTCCTACATAGCACAAAAATATGGTTATTATTGTTATTATCCAATGAATAGAACTTTTTCTTCAATCTGCTGCTGAAATTCCTCTTCTCTCACTTTAATGCACCTTTTTCAATAAAGCAGAATTTCTATATACAGAAACAACATCCTAATCACCCAAATTCCTCCCATTGATAAATTTAATTTCCCTAGTTTCTCCTAGATAAAACAACACTGAAGTTCTGTTGTTGTTCCTACAATGGCAACAAAATAAAATTGGATTTGATGTTATTCTCACTGTTTATTGTTTGTTTTACTTTTGAGTCTAAAGGACCTGTCCAAAGTCTAGTTGCCTCTCTTGAGATTTCAGTATCTTCATGCCAGGAAGGACTCTCACATCAATTTACCATCCTCCTGGATAACAGCTAAACCAGCTTTGCAAGGCACTATGCAGACACACCAGAAAAGACTTATCTTGGTCAAAGATTGGTCAAAGAGCTAAAAATGGTAAAACTTTTTTTTTTTTTTGGAATAGAACAACAACAAAAGATGCTCAGTCTAGCCCTGCACCCTGACTTTCCTGACTTCCAACAATCCCAGGCAGGATACTGACCTCCTCAGACAGCTGTAGGAGTTGCTATGCCATTCTCATCAGTTGCTACACATGGTCAAGAATGGTCTAATATGCCTTCCACATCTGGCTTGATCTTCAAAATAGGAGGAGATTGCAGCAACTTTCTAGGCCTGAGAAGCCCCACAGGTGCCAAAGTAAAACTGGATCTTTTCTTTTTTTAAGCTGAAGAAAGGATCTAGGTTTTAGGAAGAGGCAAATTATCTTCCATTATCACTCCTCTCACCTGATTCATGGTCTCTGACAAGGTGCTGAAGTTATTCTTACAACCAGGCAGGTCCTGTTGAAGGTCAGGTATGGAGGTGGAATGAAGGATGAACACCAGAGACAGTTGCTAGGGAAGAACCCTCCCTCTATCTGTGAGCTGTAGTCACCATGGGAACCATAATAAACATGGTAGAGATCAGGTCATCCTTAACGATCAAAAAAACAAGAATGAGGCTAAAAAGCTCATGTCGAATAAAGCAATAAAGAAGTTCTCATCATGTAAGGAGGATTTCTTGGAGACTTTCATCATACAAATATGATAATCAACAACACTTGTTATTTTAGCATAACTAGGCCTCTTAGCATCTTCAAATCAACATCTTCTACAGGCTCAACACATCCCTCCAAAAAGGTAGGAGAAGGTAAACACACTTGCCACAGAAGAGATGGTTGCTGACTAAAGGTCTCATATTGAGTCAATAACAGTCCACAGTGGACCATACAGCATTCAGCCCTTTGTGTTGTACTTTAGCCCCATATTTACACTCTTCATCTGTGGTGTTTCACCAACGATCTGAGTACTCACCGGAACACGGCAACTTCTGAAATCCTCCAGGGTGCAACTTTACCTCATATAAAAATGCTGCCCTTCCCAGTCAGTAAAAGAGGTTGTGGGCCACACAGAAAAAAACAGAGATATTCACAGTTGCATCATCTTAGAAGCAGATTTTATTCATTATGAGAAACTGAAAATTGGGTTAAAAATCCTACTGATCATTTTTAGAAAAACTGACAGAATAGAAATCAGGATGTTTTCCCTATATTTCCTCTCCCTCTCTTTC